CGTCGGGTAGCGCGGCTCCCCCGGCGCGGGGGGCCTGTGCGCGGCCGTGGGCAAAGTCTTTAAAATAGCGGGATTTTCTCCTCCTCCTTACCGCTTGGGAGGAGATTCCCTGCTTTCCAGATGCGAAGTGTTCCCGTGATGATGTCCCGGCACAGAAAAGGCGGGGGAAGCTCAGCTTTTGTCTGCGCCTCCCTTTCTTCCTCATTTAAAAAAAAAAAAAAAACCAAACCGAAAAAACCCAAACCGCCAAAACTTGAATGAAATACCTTTACAGTAAGCCCAGTAAATGATTTTCCATTTTTGCACATTGGAATTCTAGTTGATATAGAAATCTCCGTGCCCGTTATAACCGCTTGCGCTGTGAACTTTGGCCGTGTACTTGAGCAGCTTGGCTTTGTCTCTGGTTAACGTACGGTGTACGGGGCAAAATTAAGGCCAGGAAAAATTAGGTGGCTTCCCTGCAGCGGCCGTGTGATGTGAGATTATATAGTCACACCTAACATGATACAGACTTTTAAAATGTAAATAAGTTGGGCTTTGAGCATTCATAAGATAAATCGCCTAAAAGTTTAAAGAAAAAATGTTTTAAGGCAGTTGGATTATTCAGTTTCGTGTTTTTAAAAAAAAAGAAGACCTTTGGAAAATGCATTCTCTTCAGAATTACACAGTAATATTTATACGTTTAGTGTTTTGATTCACGTGCCAAAAATCAAATAAGAGCGCACAAATGTATTTGATTATGATTTTTATCGACTTCCTCAGACAAATTTAGGCAACTTCCTAAGAACTGGAGTAAGGGGTGTAATCGCAGAATGGTAGAGGTTTATGTTTTCAGAGCATCAGTGTTGGTGTTAGGTGACGATATCTGAACTGAGTATAAGAGAACGGCGGCTGAGGTCAGAAGCTGCCGTCCTTCAGACTCACGCTACGTGCCAGGTTGGCCAGTCGAGCGTCTCGTATGTGTTAGCAGCGAAGCATCAGGAACATAATCAACATATGACAATACATTCGTACAGTGGAAGGATATTTTTAATTAATAATTTATTAGTTATATTAATTTCCAGTTAGTAAGTGGCAACTCAGAGTACACACTGGCTAAATAACTTGCCCGAGGTCACTTAAGCAGTCTGTGTCAGAGCTGAAAATAAATTATACAATCTTTGTGACTCCTAAGGTATGATCACGTTTCCTCTTGCTTTCTATTCACAGCATTTTTATGAACATAGCCATTTACTTTGTTTACAGAATCGACAGTTTCCTGAATAAGCTAGAGAGTCGCTTGGGTTGCAAAGATGTTGGAAGAAGATATGGAGGTGGCCATCAAGGTGGTGGTAGTAGGAAATGGAGCTGTTGGAAAGTCCAGTATGATTCAGCGATACTGCAAGGGGATTTTTACAAAAGACTACAAGAAAACTATTGGTGTAGATTTCCTGGAAAGACAAATCCAGTATGTATTAATGATGCCATACTATTGATTTTTTACCTTTCCCTCTATTTCTTTGTTCTGTTGTATTCCTAAGATTTACAAAGGCTTGAAACAAGGCCTGCTGTCTCCAAAGCACAGTAAAGGGAGTTGTTTTCTCTCTTGCACAGTGGGCTAAAATTATATCATTCTATTTTCCATACAAGATTTAGAATTATAAATCAAAAGCAAAATAAAATTTGGAACCTGTCTTGTACTAAGCTTTTTGACAAGTTTCCTTTGTATTCTACCACCCGTTTATTTTGTTTGTTTGTTTGTTTTTTAATGTGGAGGAAGTGGAAGTTTTTATGATAAAACGATTACACAAATTTATTAGCCAATACAGATTAAAATTATTGTGGGGAAAAAAATTAAATATGGTATAGATTTAGTCTCTTTATGTAATATAAGCAGATAAGACCCAATTATGTTTGATAAAATGGAAAATACTGTGGTAATGAGAAGTAAGAAAATTCCATAAATTTTGTAAGCTGATTAAAATGACAAAAGGACCATTATTCAGGCACCTAAGTTTTGTTTTGAAGTCTATATTATTTTTTTCCTCATAGAGGGAAATGTAGAGGAAGAGGAGGAAAGGAAGAGGAAAATGTAATATGGATTGTCAGGAAAGAGCATGTAATATAATTGAGGGACTACTGCCATAGCATGTTACAGAGGTGAAGCATTATCAATATTAAGTTACATTATATTTAAATGAAGTTAAATTTGAACTGAATTATTCTTATATTGTAGACACAGAAATATTTCCATGTCAGTTGTTTTGAATTGCTCTTGTTCATTGTATTGATTACAAAACTGTGTTGTTTATTTCAGAGTTAATGATGAAGATGTCAGGCTAATGTTATGGGACACTGCGGGTCAAGAAGAATTTGATGCAATAACTAAGGCCTACTATAGAGGTGAAAATACCGTGTTTGTTATTTCACAGTCTGGGTTTTTTTTTTTTTTCATCTGCACACCTCTTAACTGAAATTCTCAATACAGAGATAGGAAAATATCTTACTTCATGTGTGTGCAAAGCATTTTTAGTCCTCCTTTTTCAGTTCTTAAATGTTTTTCCCCTTCGTGTAAGATCCTTGCCTTAATTAAGTGTCACTTTGTGCAGGATGCTCAGTAGTGCCCTTTAAAAACATAGAACAAAATGAGACACATATTTGCACAGAAACTGCACAGAATGTAGCCATTCAGACAATCAAATGCAAAAGTATATATTTCCCTCTAAAAGCGTTTTCTTACTTCTTTAAGACATATTTGTACATGTTCCAAAAATTATGGCTGAGCCACTTAGAAATTAATCCAAGGGGAAAAAAAAATCCACCAGTCATCCTACAAAGATAGTTTATGAGGCACAGCAGTTCTCTTGCTACTACAGACTGCCTTGAACATGTTAACACAACAGAGTAATAAGGAAAGCGTATTTACTTCATAAAATAGAAACTATATTATTCAGTCATATAAAGGTAGTTTATCCATTTAGCCAGTGACAAATTAGTTGCATAGTTAGGCTTTCTTTGCATATAATTTAACAATGGTTGTGAAAATCTTTCCTTTTTGTTTTTTAACATGAGAGATATGAATGACTTGGCAAAGATTCCATCATTCAGTTCTTGTCAAACTAATTACCTGATGGCTGGGAAAAATATATTACTATGGTATAAAATGTTAGAAAAATTACCTCATTTAGAGATAAAATAATTGTTATGCCGTGCTGCTTCAGGTGGTATATTCCTCTCACCTTGTTATATTTCGTGATTGGTTTTGGCAACTAATGGGGGGGGGTGGTGTTGGTAATATTTCTGGTTGTCACTCACAATTGATGATTACCATTTCTTCAGAGAAGGATACTTCTTTTCCTATTTCTTTTTATTCTCGTGGAGATAGATCATTCTGTTATTTTACAGCTGACAAGTTGAGCCTATGAATTTTAGAAGGTAGTACTTTATTCTCTTGGAGCTTCCTTTTTACTCTCCTGGCCTTCAGTTGTCTTGTGTCCTTTGCTCTCCTCAGTTGTTCCAAGCCAAAGTCTTGTCCTCCTAATTACTGGGGCAGATATGCTAAAATATGGAGTGTTCAGAAGAACTTTGAAGTACAGTTATTGACCTCACTTACCGTGTATCTTGACTATCTTGAAATCTTGCTCGTGACTCGTGCCCAGCATAGTGCAGTTAGATCTCTACCTTCGAGGTCTTTATACTGAAGAGGCTGCTGTGAAATAGGACGTAGTCATCCTATGGATGACATTGTAGACAGCGTGATGGATATGTTAACAGTTCAAGCTATTAGATACAGTGACTGTTCTGCATGAGACTTTGACTCATGAAGGACAAGGGAGATTGTAAGAGCCTGGAATGCAATTTTGGTTTGCAAGCACCATCAGGTCTGTAAGCGCAATATTAGAGAAGCAAAAGGTCAAGCTTACTTTGGAAATGCAAGGATTTCGTTGCCAGTTATTGCTGATAAGGGGAGGATGCCTCTGAGGTAGGTAGGATAGATGCTGGCTGTTATTTCAAGGTCTGCCTCTCCCACAGGCCACTGTCCCACTATCATTACGCTAGGGTTTACATACTCTCCTGGAACCTTGTGTATTGTCAGTTCTTCAGGGATCAGCTGCTCATCCATGGTCACACAATGAATACTTCAGAGCCTGTTTCTGAGCCTTTCTTGTCCAGGGACCAAATTCATTCAGCCTTGCAGAGAAACAAAATTGGAGCTGACAGTGGATTTGTCCTGTGGTTTTCTACGTACAGGCGAATATGTGCAGCCAGTGTAACTGCATGCCCATGATCGTACAATGCAAGGAGTCCAGCAGCCTAAATTCAAAGAGTTGAAGGAAGCTCTGTATGTATTTAATAATTTATTTTTTATATTGTATCATGCGTCTTACCAGTTTCTATCCAATGGAAGTCGCACATTTTCTAATTGGCTAGGTACTTCATTTATATGCTAAGCACATACACAAGTGGCTGTCATTAGCATCACTGTGTGTTCTGTCCACGGTACAGATGTTTCTCAAAGCAGTATTTGATCACTTCTTTGTGCGTGCAACCCCTTCCATCCGCTACCACTGATATCTTGAGTAGAGCCTTGTTAGATTTTTGATGGAAAACAGACATCTTGCTCATTAGTCTGTTACTCAGTTGCTGATTAGTCAAATTCTCAGGCTCCTCGTTTTGTTGCACAACAGATAGACTTCGTATTTCTCAAGCCTTCATAGCATTGCTCTAGCTTGCGCTTGTCAACCACTTTTGGCTGTAGTAACTATGATAATGGGAGGGCTGCAAGACTGTTCTGGTCCAATTTGGAGCAAGGCAGCCCTCTTTTGGATAGTTAGTGAGGCCTTAAACCCTGCTAAGCTGGTTAAAGAGAGCCAGGATCCACAGCAGTTAGAACATGAGAACTTCTGGATGATGATAGGATTTGACTTTGCATTTTAGCTCTAAGGCTGAAGGAGCCACCATCAATTTTATAGTGAACGTGTGTTGTCTCTCATAGCCTGAAAAAGCTGAGGCAGAGAACAGAAGAGTGAAACAAATAGGTGCCGAGTATAAAGCCCTGTGTGAATCCACTCATGGCAAGGAATTTCTTTACATATTTTCTGTTACGTGGGCTGTGTACCAGCATGAAAGGAGAAAATATGGTTACAGAGTCTATGAGGATGGGATAATCTGCTGAGTGTCTTAGAGACCTACTCAGCTGACAAGCTCATGCTCTACTTGAATCAAGTAGAGATGCTAGCACTACTCTCTTTAATTTTTTTCTGAATTAGTCTAGGTATGAATATCATGTCAGTGATTCTTCAGCCAGTTGGAACCTTTTTAAAATACGGGGGTTATCAAGGCAGTAATGGCACACAAAAAAAACAATGTCCTTTTTTTCTTCAGTACTTTAAAGTAGCTTTACGAAACAGCTTCTTACAAAACAACTTTGATTTAAAATACTCACTGAGAACATCCTGGTTTTAGCTGTTATGCTCCTGTCTGACACTATCCTGTGCCTTTGCTGCTGGTGTCTGTTGTTGTACACAATCTGTTGTATGACAGAGGTGGTCTATGACTCCATTTGGAGTGGATGAGAGAGACAATAATGTTACTGACTGTCTTGAATACTCTCAGTCACTGCATACAGAAAGGTGTTTCAATGCCTAAATCCTGGGTTTTGTCTTTTTTTTCTTTTTTTCTTTTTTTTTTTTTCTCCTTAGAGCTCCTACATGGACATTATAATTTCTTATACTTGTTTATGTTCTCAATAAAAATATTGAGTATTTAGCAATATTCTTAGAAGATGAAAAGAATTTACCTAGCAAGATCCCTACCCTGCAGCATCTTCTGATGAACTCTGCCACACTAACTTCTGCACTACACTGAAGCATACTTTCAGAAAGATCACATTTGATATTGTTTTGCATTGAGCATGAGAAGAATACTCCTTTTGTTCTTCTCTTCTTAATAAGTATTTTGCAGGGTTATTTGATTAGTACATTCTGATATTTATTACAATCCAGTGATCAAAACCTTCAGCAGACGTTTGGAAATACACAATTACATATAGAATATATGTATAGAACTTGTCATTGTTGATACAAAGGTGTATCTCTTGATGAGGAAAGACACTTTCAGTTACTGTTGTTTGTTAACTTCCTGGTAAGAACCTTTAGATGTCAGAATCTTGAAGGTCCTCAAAAATACTTCAGTTTGATTCCTAATTGGAGCCTATCGTAGAATTCTCTTTAAAAAGCAGTATGGCCAAGCTGAGTTGTTTTTACTGTCCACTGTCCCTGTCCACTGCATTCTGCATGTATTGTATCTAAATTGAGTAAGGAGGTCTGATGTTGTAAGTCACCCCCTTTTTACCTACCACATGCTAGAACTTTTCCCTCTAAACTTATTATTACCAAGTTATCTCCGTGTTTTAGCATTCAGAAGGAATGTGTGGAAGGAGAGAGATGAAGTGAAAGTGCCTTAGAGTGGAAACTTCACAATGGATTTCTTAGTCTTAAAACTGAACAAGATGATGTTTACAGATGGTGAGAGTCTTTTAATAAATATTCTCATCTCCAATAGAGCAAAGACCTTGAGAGGCTTTATTAAGCTAGACTGCAAGACAATAGTTTAAATTCAGCATTGACAAATGCAAAGTCACCTGCTTTGGAAAGAATAATTAATTTTACACCGGTCTCACAGGATTCTAAGTGGAATTGCATCAGAAGAATTGTGTACGTTAGCATATGGTGTGGACATCAGGGAAAACAAACAAAATTTTAGAACACAAGTAACGGAAAATTACGAAGACTACATTGGTACTGTTTTATTGGTAGAGCTTGATTTGAAATTCTGAGGGAGTTCTTATTATTCTGTATAAAACTATACAAAAAGAATCTTAATGGCATGTGAAAGAATGTTAAAGAGCGTATGAAAGCTTTCATAAAGATAGACTGAACTTGGCTTTGAAAAGATAAATAAAAAGAAACCTATTAAAAGAACTTGAGTGCTTTGTGTCAAAGAAATACAAAGACAAACAGAATACAGGAATGGGGGATACTTGGTGAAACTCATAGATAAAAGAAAATTCATACCGATGAAATAATTTTTCATGCTGTATGTAATTAGATTGGGATCTTTGCCACAAGATAACACGGGAGTCTCAAAGACGTTATCTATCTATTCCTTTTACACTCTGTTACTAAGTATCAAATATATTAAAAGCATATAAATAATAAAGTGTTTCTCCATGTGTTTATGTGCAAAGAAAAGTAGTTTCTTGAGGATAACAAAGGACTACTGGACAGTCAAAGACCACTCACTAACATTTCAAGTGTGGAAGTTACCTTTTCGGTATCCATGGGTTTTAACTGTTGTCTGCTAAGGCTGTTACAAAACCGTAACAAAAATGGTACAAAACATTTTGTATAACTTACCATGGTGCTGTGATAGAATGAGTATGACTTAGAAATACACTTAATTTCTCCAAAAAGCTACTAAACAATTTACTTGAAATAATCACAACTTTCTCTGAAAACTTTACGTTTTCTGCTTTTCAAAGTCCAAATTACTGTCTTACAAAGCATAACGTGAAGTGTGCTTTGCAGGTACTGCATATGGAAAAATACTTGACTTCTGGCCTCCATTAAGCTGTATGGAAAACAGTGAGCAATAAGCAAACCTCCCTTTCCCTTTTTCCAGCCTTTCCACACCGCCTCCTGTTCCTTTCCCCTGCGTACATGTACCATGCTGGAAATAGCTTGAAAGGTAACAGACCCATAGCCACCATGAGGAATGGGTGTCATGATCAAAATAATATGGCAGTCTATTTCCATTTGGAGAATTTATGACCATTGGTTTGACACAAGCTGGTGGCAAAGGTGCACTTTTATGGCAGAAGCTTGAAAAATCCCTCATATTTGAAATACATTATATGTGATGATTCTTGTTTTTAATGTTTGATGGTTGATTTCTACTTATTTGTAATTGATTTGTATATTTTTAGGAGCCCAGGCTTGTGTTCTTGTGTTTTCTACAACTGACAGAGAGTCCTTCAAAGCAATCCCTACCTGGAAGGAGAAAGTCGTGACCGAAGTTGGAGACATTCCCACAGTTCTTGTGCAGAATAAGATTGATCTTCTTGATGACTCTTGTATAAAGAAGTAGGAGTTTTATCTTACTGTTTTTAAAGAACAATAGATGCCTCCTGTATACACACATTTTAAAAAAAAAAAAAAACAACTATGGTATCTAGGTTGCCAAACCTAGGCCCTGCATCAAAACATGCCCTAGAAGCACAGGTGACAGGTATTTGCTGCATGAGTGTAGTTACTTGGGCAGATGTGCTTGCCAAGCTAGGAGCTTTCTGTTTGCTTCACACCTTCTTCTGAAGTGTCAGCCAAAAAGAGGAAGAGCATGAAGAGTTTGGTTGTGCCATTATATGATTCTCTCTCTCTTTTTTTTTTTTTAAGTAGAAATTCTAAAACTGTAAATTTTCTCTCCTGTTAAAATTTACAGTTTCTGTTAAACTGTGCTGTGCACCAGTGAAGTTACGTTGCCCGGTTTGGCTAGTGAATACTTGCTAAAACGATGAAGAGCTATTAAACAGGTTGTTTGAAAAAGTATCTTAATATGCTTTGCTTCGCTTTCTTTAATTTGTTTTTATTGCTCATTTTTATCAAAACATTATAACGCTATAGAAATACGTATCTGTTAATATTCTCAAACTGCATGGTGCTGATCCTTCTTCACTATTTTTCTTTACAGATTTTACTGTCAGTTCTTTCTGCCTTTGTATATATGACCAATTTCATTCTTGCCATAAAATCAGCTTAACAAATGCGAGCTTTTATTTACCACAGTCTATCATGTAGAAAATACCGCATGATGAATTTGATTGTTCTCCACTTCTTCATTTCTGCCATCTTCCTGAGAGATTGAAATTATTCCTTCTTTTTGTTGTTTCCTGCACTGGCTTTCTTTGTTCTCTGTTTGCTATCATTGATGGCATAAATCAGCTTCTACTCCCTCTGCAAAGAATACTGAGGATTTTTCAAAGGAAAAGCAAAATTGCATTTGAACTCCTCCTTTATGCATGGTATGTCACTTAGGTTTTGCTCTCCACATACTCCATCTGCCATATGTGATTTGCCTTAGTGAAATTTTCATAAGTTTCGTCAGCTTTTCCTTAACATTTAGCACAAGTTCTCTTTCACTTCACAGAAAAAATTAACTCTTGGTTTCATGTCTGCACTCATCTGATTCTCATCATATCTCATAGTCTACTGCTTTATGAGTCTACTCATCATAGTCTACTGCTTTATTAAAATATACTGAAGGATTACTTTTTTGTTGTTGTTTTGACTTTGCAGTGATAATTGTTCTGATTCTAGTGCTGTTAATTACAGCCTCCTTCCTTTTGGTTTCACTGACACCTGTCTTCAAACCCTTGGAAAATGTTCTTTAATGAAGTCAATAAATACTGAAAAGCAATTACTTTTGGTCATAAAGAAACTGCATGTAAAATACCTTCTTGTTATGGTGGAGGTATTGTAAAGAAATTAAGGATCACCTGTTTTTTGACTGAGTTCCTTAACCCACCTTGCCACGTTTAACTTACCGCAAAGCATTGTGTCCATAAGAATAAATGCTGGCAAACAATATAAATTAGTTATTTACAAAGTTTTCTTCTGTTGTGCAGTGAAGAGGCAGAAGCGCTGGCAAAAAAGCTAAAATTGAGGTTCTACCGAGCATCTGTGAAGGAAGACCTAAACGTAACTGAAGGTACGAGATAGAGCAGAGCAGGTGTCTGTCCTGCCCGCTGCTGTATAGCACTGTACATCTCCCTAGTTTGGAGCTGATCTGTAACTTCCCATGTTGTTGCGTGCTGTTGACAAGCCTTCTTATATTTCTTAGCAGCACGCTTTAAACATAGCTAGAATTACTTGGTATCAGTTTGCTAGCCCTGTTTCTTTGTCTACATCTTCCCTTTCTCTTCCACAAACAGTGCATTAGCTTCAATGTTTAGAAGTGCCAGTGTGTTAAGGGTGCTTAGTTCTAATGACTGTCAGCAAGCTCTGAGCTTTTAAAAAAAAGATACGTAGAAGTTGAATTATTACAATATACAAATTGTTGGAACAGATTATTTTGTAATTGTAATAGTTAATAAATAATTGATATAAACAATTATTTCATAGTTTAGTTATATTTAAGTACATTAAAAGATTGGATCTCCTGCAGCGTTTTGTCTACTGAAGACATTTTACTAGTTCCCAAGTATCACTTTTTACTGTATATATTTAATTTCATAAGAGTACTGTTATAAAATTCAGTCACTATCTTTTATGGGGTAGGTTTGAATAATCATGAATTACAGTCTCTGATGACTTACGTTTTGTTTAATCAGGCAAACTTAATAGTAAACTAACTGTTTCTCCTCTGTTAACATCATTCACCTTGGGAAAAACGTGTGAGAGAAAATGTGAAATGCTTCTGTATCATCTTTACATGAGCTATTAATTACAAATGTAAATAACTGTAACATACGTAGGTTCTGAAAATTCTCCTATAGTTGTAGATTTTTTTCAGAATCCCAGGCAGACTTTCTGTACCCCAATAGAAATGAGGGTAGCATTAGTTAATTAGAAAAATGTTGCTGCCAGGTTTTATTAATAGCCTTACTTTACATGACTGCTCTTATTCTAAGGCTTCTTGCAAAAACTATATATATTAAATTCCTACAAAATTTTAGAAAGTTCCAAGCTGCAGGCATTGGAACATTTGGCAATATATACGTGCCAGCTTTACTGCAGGAGTATTGAGATGTTTCTGTCTGCTGTGTAGGACCCTAGAACTGCAGACTGTAAGACCTGGGCAGACGTCGGCCTAATCTGGAATCTGCTCGGGTACACAGTCCTGCCGAGAGAGAATCACTCGACCAGATCATGCTAAACCTGTGGTGTCGGATGCGCTTTTGTCACCACGCAGATTTCGATACAAAAGTGTTATTATTGATGTGAAGATTATTTTTAAGCCTACTCTGATGGACCTTTTTTCTTTTTTAACATTCTAGTTTTTAAGTATTTGGCTGATAAATATCTTCAAAGGCTCAAGCAACAAACAGCTGAAGATCCAGAACTAGTACATACAAGCAGTAACAAGATTGGTATGTATATTGTAATAAAAAACCAGAAGAGAGTATTTTGTGCCATCAAAGCTTATGGTCTCATCTGTTTCCGTATGGAGTTAATACAAGATGAACCAGGGTCTAATTATTACCTTCCTATCTTAGGATATTGTCTTTTTTCTTCTGTAAAATAACTTTGTGACTCTAAAGTTACAAGACTGTCAAATGGATGTACTAAAGTTCCTAGCTAATGTTTGGCAAGTGCCCTTTTATTAAATTTGTTTAAACAAACATTGTGTAAGGAAGGACTTGAGAAAGGATGCTTGTTGGGTTTTTTAATGTACTTAGTATTAGTGTTACTCATCTTGGTGCAGATTTACAAGAGACTCACGGTGAAACAATCTGGCATGTAATCAGAAGGTCTTTGGAGACTGCCTTTTTGTAAGGGAACGCTGAACTTCTGTAGTCCTTCTTTAAAGCATTTCTGAGTCAGTTCATTTATTTTCCTTACAGCACTCCCTTTTTATTCAGGCTTTTTCCTTACCTTTATCTCAGCAAAGCTTCCAACTTTAAAATTGTCATGTTTTTCTTTTATTATATTACTCAACTAACCATAGCTTTGTTACCATGCAATTAGTAGCATACACGTATGCAGATGAGCGCATATGCTGCCCTTCAATTACATAGATGTATACCGGCTTTAAATACTGCCTGGCTAGTAATTCCAACTGGCTCTACTTCAACTTTAGCTGCAAAATTGACCCAGAAATAGATAAAGCCTTTAAAAACTACAGTGTGTATTTGAGGTGCACTGCTATGCTTTAGTAAGCGTTGTGTCTCAAGCGTTAATGTATTATGCTGCAGGAAGCAAAGAAATACAAATACTTCTCTTGTCTTTTAAATTCTGTAGGTGTTTTTAATACAGCTGGTGGAAGTCACTCCAACCAAAATTCTAGCACTCTTAATGGTGGAGATGTCATCAACCTTAGACCGAACAAACAGAGGACCAAGAAAAACAGAAGCCCTTTTAGCAACTGCAGCATACCTTAGACCACTTCTGGAGGAAGAAAGCCCGACCCAGTGAATTGGATGAAGTTGTGCAATTGAGTACAGAATAAAGCCAGCTGTAGAGGTATTTTTACCAGTGCTTTAGCAAATCTTGTGCCTATGGGATCCTTGGTAGAGGGTGGATTTATATAAACTTGGTGATGCAGTGTTTTTGGTGTGTAGAGTGAGACACCTGGTGGCAAACCACAGAACCGTGGCTGCCCCGTGCACTTTGTAAAAATTAGGCAAGCTTCTCCTTTTTCAAGGAATTATTTACAGAGCTATGAACTAGGTATTGCTGAATTGCAAAGCACATTTAACGTAAGGATGATACTTACAAGTGTAGGTACAGACCATAACACTACGGCCCAAGGTAAAGTAGCAACCTTGCAACTAAATTTGAAAGAAAACATTAGAATTGGTTAGTCAGGACACTAAGAAGAGAAATGAAGAGCAAAAAGAAGAGCCTACATTTTATGCCTGACTATATTAATATGGATCCTGGCAGCTCTGTCAGTGCAATATACTTGTGTTATATATATGAGTGCTAAGGTATATATGTGAACATTTGGTATGAATATTTAGGCTAAATTCCAGTGTATATGTTACTGGGAGATCAGCTAATGATCATAAAATAGCAACTTCCCCAAAAAATTTTCCTTTAAAAATGTTGCATTTCAGATGAGGCTTTCCCAGCTGCCACTGTGTACGTTTAACTTGCTGTACTTTGGGCCTAAAAGCTTAGATTTAAAAATGTACGGTGCCAAAAATGCTCCTTCTTTTTACCTAATGCTGTGCTACAGATGTTTTTGTAAGTTTGTTTTAATCAGTCTTAACAAGTTGAACAAATAACACAGTCTTTGACACTAATAGCTATTCAGAAGGAACATATAATCATATTCCTGTTCAAATTTGATTGTTATATCCTGTGTTGTCTATGAAAAAGGAACTTGCAAAGTGGTGTCACAAAATATTTGTCGTCTTTGGAAAAATTTTTCATAGATCTCATAAACTAAGTTACGGAGGATCCAAAAAATTGCAGCTGGTGACTGAATTACATTAATGAGACATTCTTGAATGTTGTCTCGGATTCAAAGTTAGCTGCTGGTTACAGAAAACCTAATTCTGCAAGATCAAAGACATGGCAAAAATTTTTCAAAGTGCTTAAGTAATTTTACAGAATTGATTTAGATGTTTAGGAGCCCAAATCTAAATTAAAGTTATTTGGGCTTAGGCTCCTAAATCACTAAGGTGCTTTAAAAAATGCTGAGCAAGGTATCTTTTATTTACCAAAAATAAACACTTTTTAATCCTCTTGAAGAGCATGCATGCCTTTTAAAAAATATCCATTTTGTTTACATGTTTTTGTATGGTATGATATAATTTTAACTTTCTAGGATTTCTACAACAAACCTGCCGGTGACAAATGCAAAATATGCTGCTTGAAAAAATTCAGAGTTTTAATAGTTTTTTAAATGGTGTATGAGAATGAAAATGAGTTGAGTGATCCTGTATATTTTTGGAGGAAGGACTTTTCACTGTGTGAATTCATGTAGAAAGCTTGACTTACTTTGTTTCTAAGTCAATGAGTATGAAAACTGAAATGTACTCTTTTTTCCGCTGTCTGCAAGGGAGAGAAGTGGGTGGCAAGTTATGCACAAACACTAAAGATCTCTGAACTCTGTATTTTATGTTTACTATGTTAGACTTTCTAGCAAGTACCGTTGTTTCTTTGACAAGCTGTTAGAGCATCTCTTGTTGCTGGCAAGAAGGCAGCCTTCAAGGCACTCAATCCCCTTTGCTGTTGTGGCAGAACTGTGTGTTATTCACCGTCATGTTTCCTATATTTTCTCTTGGATCAAGGCCTTTATTTTTTAACGAGTGTATTTGATCATTGTGTGTACGTATAAATGGAGTCAAGTCCTATCAGTCTTAGCAATTTAAGAAGTGTAAGGTACTTAGGGTAAGACTTACGATTGTACATCATTGGGCCACCTTACAACTTCAGGATGTAGGGTAGAGTGTATGCATGAAGAATTTTGACAACTGTTTTTAATATGGAAACTTTTACATTTCATTGTCTGTCTGCCGGTTTCACACTTTTTATTCATTTTGCTTGAAAAAGAAACAAAACCACAAAGTGTCCGAAACATCTTTTTTGCCTTGTTTGACTTTGTACAGAGTACTGAAAAATAAGAGTTTATTACGTATAATGACCATTTGTACTATTACATGTAATACTGTAGACATTGTACTATTACATAAGCCATTTGTATTCAAGGTCTGTCATTATAAACCACTGTTTTAAGGACTGAAAACTCAATAGAAATTTTCATAGGTGGAGACTTGACAGACTTGCTAAATTTAGGGTATGTTGAAATTCAGTACGCATACTTTAACGTAGGAATAGACATTTGCAGCATTGGGTAACAGTGAGTTTTAATTTCATTCCCACCTTAAATCTAAAGCAGCTCGCTCTTTGTTGCAACTATGCAGTGCTTGTTCTCCAGTAGGACTGAGGTGGAGACTGTCCAAATTAGCATTTTTCTGGAAGTGCTCTGCATGTACACTGCTTGCAAATCCAATTTTTATCCTGCTGGGGTTAGTGTCTAGATGCAAACCAGATGACTTGCATATTGCAGGAATCCTTAGATATTCTCATCACTCTTCAGTGGGAGTAACTTTTGCCTTTTGAATGAAGAGACATGCCTAAACGTTTAGCGCTCACATTGTCCCTTGTGAATAATTTTTATTATAAACGTTGCCCCGTTCTCCACTCAAAGTGTTCTCATTAAAATATTGTATGTTTTAGTTACCAAAAAACCTACAGGTGCAGAGCTGGTAATAAAAATGCCCTTCTCGGTGCACCTGTGTGACTGTGCGGTGGAAGAGGATGTAGCTCTCTTGTTACACCCGTGGCAGATCGGCGTCCTGGAGTAGGAGCAGCAGATGTTCCTGCCACAAGACACCAAGTTTTGTTCTGTGAGACTTAAGCTAATTGCGCTCCTGTTTCATCTGTTAGTATCTCTTGAATAGCTCATTGGATGTATTATCTGAATCTTGCCAAAATTCTTTGCTTTCAGCTGCTAACGCTACCACTAGTAGAAAACTTCGGTAATTGTTAATGCCTTAGTGAAATAAGCATTCGCTAAAGAGCACGACACGAAAGCATCTGTCACTCCCGTGTTGTATCCATTCAGTGAATGGGTGTTCTCCCAGTGCGTGGGGCATCATTTGATGCAAAGCGGTAATGCTAGGGATGTATTTCCAACTGGAAATAACAAATCTCAAAGTTGTAAGACTGATCACACTAGGACTTTTGTGCTTGCATGTGTGTGGTTAATTTAAAAAAAAAAATTAAATATTCCACTTAAGACAATTTTGGAGCTTTCTTATTTTCAGTGTTTCTTAAGGCAGTGCTTACCTTTTTGAGTCAAAATGCTTGAATTACCATACTGTCAGTCAGATTTCCTGTTTAATTTTTTTATGCTAAAGTAAAATTTGTCATCTTATTTTTTTTTCCCCGTTATTGGGCTACAGCATATCTGACACGTAGTTTTCCTTTGCATCACTTCTGTAGATGTGCGTTATACTAAAGGGAATTGAGCAGCTGAACACGTTGTACCGCCTGGAGGTTATGCAGGGGTACATGCACAATGCCTAATGAGCGTGCACTTTGAACCTATTAATTCATCTATTCAAGCTGACAGCTACCAGTTAATAAGAGCATTAATTATTTGCACTGTGGAACCCTCTTGTTGGGAGTTCAGTCATACAGCAAACGAACCAACGTGCTTTCTGGATTCCAGTGATGGTACCTAAGCCCCTACTGCTTTTCTAAATGTAATCATCGACCTTTGGCTGAAGCTGCGGAACCTGAACCATAATTGTACGTAAGCCGGAGAGCGAGCGTGGTCCGACAAGCTTGGTTTCATCAAAACTACCTTAACCATCTTTTTGTAGGAAGCAACAGTTGCGCACATCTTCTCTTTAATGCTCAAATAGTATTGACAGAAGAAAATACTTCTCTCTGCTAATTATGGCATCCAAACAGGTAATCAAAATTATGGAAGAAAAAATGCAGGAATGTTTAGATGTAAGATGAAAGGTGCTATAATAGAATAAGAGAAACTTTCAAACAGTTCTGTGTCAGATGTTCTGCGTGAGTCGTCTCAAAGCCAGGTGAGTCCTAGTACTGAACTAGACTCATTCTCGGGTTTCTAGTGGTAGGGTAATACTGATAAATAATTTGTGGAGTGAGTGTTCTTTCTTCTCTCACGGAGATAAATGTGGTTCGGCAGAACCAACTAAAGTTGGTCAAAAAAAGTAAGAATTAATCTGGACCAGGAGAAATACCGCTCTCATGGCAAGGATAAAGATGCATCGTTCCTAATAAATGACTTACTCTTATTTGCAAGTTCACATGAATCTGAATGGTTAAAACAGATAATGTACATAACTGTTTTTATCACCGTCATGATCTCGAGTAAATGTTAAAGAAAAAAAGTCAACATAACTTAGAGTAAATCCTCAAGTGGAAAAATAAATGTTTAAAACTGAATATTCTGTGTATGCCATTCCTGTTAATCCCTACAAGTTAATTCTGCTGTTCTCTTGTAAGTGACATGAGTTGTATCATGCAACTTTAACATGTTTGTTTGATTACTGTTTGATCTGATACAGGTCACTACTTTTGTGGTTATATTAAATTGTCAGTGTATTAAATCGCAAAAAATGGCTCTACCCCTGTAGTCTGCAACCTGAATCTGCTCAACAAACTCGTGTGCCTGCTCCTAGTCCGTGTGTTGCGAACAGCTGGGATCCAAGGCAGCACACGTAGATACTCTCACAGAACACGTGTGGGCACCCCTGTCTAACAACAGAAGAGCTGTTCCTGAGCTCTTGCCTCTCATTTCTCCACCACAAAATGGGATTCTGTTCTCTTTCTGTGCCCAGCATTACTCCATCCTAGGTGCTGGATCCAGCATTTGGACTTAAGAGTCATGGAATCATAGAATTGTTTAGGTTAGAAAAGACCTTTAAGGTCATCAAGTCCAACCGTAAACCTAACACTGCCAAGCCCACCACTAAACCATGTCCCTAAGTGCCACATCTACACATCTTTCAAATACCTCCAGAGATGGTGACTCAACCACTTCCACAGTCTCTCTACAACTACCTGAAAGGAGGTTGTAGCGAGGTGGGTGTTGGTCTCTTCTCCCAAGTAGTTAGCGATAGGACGAG